GTCTTTCTGGTTAAATAAAGGTTCAATAAAAATAAATCCAAGGGATTCTCATGGAAGTATCACTTCTCTTCTGATTGTTTCAGTCCCTGAATAAGTTAATCTCAAAGGGAGATTTCTGAGGCCGTTGGAGGTAATGTCACTGTGCCCTCTGCCTCCTCTGCTGCTCTCCTCTGTCTCCCCCTCACTTCTCCTATCGCTGCTTCTCCTCTGGCCTTCTATCTGCCCTCTCTCCCGTCTTCATTCCTCTTCAAAGACTGGGATGAGGAGAAGACTGGCTTTGAGCCACAAACCACAACAGCTCTCTCTCACACACAGACAGCACAACAAACAAATTCTTTAATGAGCTGCATCAGACACCATTATTCCATCATGTTGTACTTTGCATTAATAAATACAAAACAGAAATTTTGTATGATGACATAATTCAATCTTATACTTTTCCTTAATGTGTACAGTGGTGGAAGAAGTATTATGTTTTGTTTACTTAAGTAAAAGTTGCAATTTCACAAAGTAAAAATATTATTTTCTTTAATTTAACTATAAAGATTTCTGAATTACATAAATCTCTTTTAAGACCTGTCCAGAAATCACCTACAGCACGTCACAAAGATAAAGTCATTTTGCTCAAACAATTATAACATTTACATTTTTCATGATACATTTCTTGAAAGACACAAATATACGTTTTTGTTAAAGAAGTTAATGATATGCTTTGGCAACTCAAAACACATGCTTACTGTGCTTACATTTTTGTATCTTTATGACTTTTCCAAGATCTATTTTAAACATGATTTTGAGCTTATGACATGTTTCAAAACCCTGCTACAGAAACTAACCCATTACTTCTATTTGTACCTCAGCTGTAACATATAATGGAAAATGACTATTCCTATATACAGTACACCTCATAAATCCCTAAAAAGTGTACAGACAAATGCAAATCAGGAGTCCGTTCAAATATTTGAAAGCTTCACAATAGTCTATTTTCATAACAGTTATAGCAGCGACCTCTCCAGGCTCTAACTGATCCCAAACCTAACTAATGCAGTGCAGTTCTTTTTACATACACACATTCATAGCCCAGTATAAAGCATTAAATATTTAGAGTAAAAGCTGCTTTTTGGTGTAATAACAAAACTTTATTGTAATTTCTATATTTTGCAACAATCTTCAAATATGAAAGCCAAAAATTGGCAAAGGGAACGGTCACCACTTATGAAATGAATGGTGAATAATGGGTTTACTAAGGTTGTTTTGCTGTGTATGAAGGGACAAAACTGTCCACTATTTTTACACATAAAGCAGTGGGGTCTGTGGGGCCCAAAAACAATGGCTTTTCGGCTCTGAAATGAACTACTGACTGCAGCCTACTTGCACACTAGAATGACAGCCACATGTTCCCATCACTTCATAAATCCCATACCTCAGAAATGGAAACAATGTGATGTGGAAGTTTGAATCCAAATTTACTGTAAGATGAAGTTATTTGTTCCAGCTCCTCCTAAAGTCCTGCATATTTGACAGTCCACTTGTTTGAAGGCAGGCATCCTCTTCACATTTTCTCCATTCATACACACACACACACACACATACACCTTTCCGTTTCACCCTGCTCTGAACCCGTTCTCCATCCACCATGTAGAAACTTAAATAAACATATGTGCCGAGACATTCCCGGTGTGCCCCACTGCCACCGCTGCTCACCCATCCACCCACCAGCCCACCACCCCCTGCATCCCCTCTCCCCTTAACCCCTCTGTTCCCATCAGCCACACTTCTACTCTCAGATTTCACCTCTCAGCTTCCTGCTGCTCCCAGCCACACTGACACACACTCAGCCTATTGAATGTCATTGGCGCAGTGGTGGTAGAACAGCAACACCACAATTTAAAAAACATTAGATTGTAACAAAAAATCCCATATTCAGAGATATACTTAAGTAAAGGTACAAAAGTATGAACAGCAAAATGCTAGAAGAAATAAAAATAAATAAATTCAGAGTGGTCTTCTATTTTATGTATGTATTATATTATTGGATTATGAAAGTTTTATTAGAGCTGGTTGAGCTGGACCAAATTTTATAATTACTTCATAGGCATTTAGTATAAGATGATGTTAGATTAATGTAGCAGAGTAAAAAATGCACTTCCCTCTGAATTGTGTGGGAATAGAAATATAAAGTTGCAGAAAAATAAAAGCAAGTAAAGTATCTTGAATTTGTACTTACAGTATGTACAGTATTTGAGTAAATGTACTTACCTTTTACTACTTATAGAAAAACACATTTATATTCTCAAAAACCACTTAGTCTTTAAAATCTTGTTTTCTTTCATTAAACAAGTCAAATGTTTAAATGCAAACAAATGTTGAAACTCCTGTGATTCTGCTACAAACTCACTGCAGCATTATTTTTTCCATACATATTTGGAGCATGCAATGGAAAGTGGCATTATGTCCCCTTACTAACAGATTTCAGAAGAAGATGTTTTTTTCCTGTCTAAATATATAAAAATGTATATAAAATCAAATAAATTAAGTTTGATGTAAGTAACATTCATGCAGTGCGTATGTGCACAAATGCAGCCACATCCATGTGGATTCATTGTACTGTATGTGCTCTGTTTCAGGTTCAGTTCAGTTCAGTTCAGGAGGTGAACAGAAATTCCACTTCAACACAGTGAATATCTCATACCTGGAGCTGAAACTAAGTCACACATTAGGATAACTTAAAGGGTCATGATCCCCATCCTGCTATAATATAGATAGATAGATAGATAGATAGATAGATAGATAGATAGATAGATAGATAGATAGATAGATAGATAGATAGATAGATAGATAGATAGATAGATAGATATCTAGGGTTGTGTGGTGGTGGCGGGGGCTGCTTTTTGGGCTTGTGGATTGTGGCATGTTGTGACCTTGTAATATCCTATGATTTCATAATCCCTCTGTGACAATCTATTATGTGAAAAACAGCTTTATACTAAAGTTTAGGCCTTCATGTATATTTTTATAATCAGCCTGTAAGAATAAGCCTGGTGTTTCGCCCAAATAATGAATTAATCTTTATATTAAATATTTCCTGTGTAACCAAAGTGTGAGACCAAGCCTTAGTCCTCTGTGCTATTATAGAGCTCAGTTGTCATCTAAAACATATAAAACATCGTGAGTCACACTGTTGCACTGTTGAGTGATATGCTTCATCATCACAATGAACATGGTGCAGTTTGTTCCCACATATACCAATTCCACTGCTAAAAATACTCACAATAGTACTCCCAAGTGAAATCTGCCACTGAAAGTAGTCAGCAACAAAAAAGTCTGTACTTAGTAGAGTATCTTTTGCTGTAAACTACAGTGTGCTGCTGTTCTGTAAAATCATTTATAGATGGATTTGGAGCTGAAAGTTGGAAGGTAGTGAGTCTGATACACTGTTAGTTTTGGTCTTTTTATGGACTTTGCTGGGAATAGCAAAAATGTCACACAATTTCAAAATTATCCTTTAATTGCTTCATATAATGTTATGTCAAGCCACAGTCAAGTCACTTTTACTTTTACTTATGTACAGTAAATATGAATAAGAAGCCAAGAAAAATGATTACACATAATAAATTCTGCTGCTCCCACCAAGTATTGCTGTGAGGTAACTAAAGTGAGGATATTTATTTATTATGTATTTATATAAGGTTTAAGAGGTAGCATTGTTATTTTGAACAATGTTTTACAGGTACAGTTTTTACCATAGAGATGCCCCTATGAAAAAGTACCTGCTGTAAATAATGTGTATTTGTTGTTTTCACAGCAAAATCCAAGTTAAGCACTTTCCATTAGGATTACTCATTACTCTGATAATATGTGGTTCAATTTTATTAGTCAAAGGCTGACTCTGTGTTGAAACCTTGAGAGGGCACATTACTAAATATTTCTGCAGCCTGGTGTGCCATATCACTATCACTCTCAAGACCGTATAAAGCAAAAGAGTGACAGATTTATCTGTTGCACAACACTTTGAGACACTGCAGTCTTTAAACTGAATCAAACTGTCTGCATCATCAAGCCAAGAAGAAGCACATGAAGCATGTTCATATTATAATCCTGCAGTTTTTGTGTACACATGCAAAAGTGCTGTTGATTATTTTAATTAAAAAGACAGAATTTTTCAAGACCTGTCCAAAGGGGTGGGATGGGATTATCAAGCAAAGTCAAGCAAATATTATAGGTATTATAAACTGAATTATTTTGTTACAAACTATTCACTTTTTGAGGTTAAAAGGGAAGAGTTTGAAACAAATCTATGCACAATGTTTTAAGAGAAATTAAAAACCTTATTGGTACATAGGAAATGTAGTACAGTATGTGTTTTATTTATAAATAAACTGTGCATCTTATTATCATCCAGACAAATCATACAGTTATTATCCAATTCAAGAACACACTGTAATGACAAGTGAGAAATGTGTGTAGGCTACACACAGTTAGGTCACATCATTGAAGATAGACAAAAAAGGGTTTTGTGAATTTTATGTAAGGTTTATGTCTTTCACTGTCTTCACTAAGAGCAAAAGTATTTCAAGTAACTTATTATCTTGTAATGCAGGCACTGTAGATTTCCTGGATAAATGGTAGCGTAGTGCCACCTGTTGATCAACATAGCATTTCAGTGGAATATGTTTTTTTTTTCAGTATAAACCATATTTTACTATTAGTTAATTCTAAGTGAGTTCCAGATAGCACACAGAGGTTCCAGGATGAAGGAATTTAAAGAAATTCATTTTCTAAAACCTAACTATATTAGATTACTTTATTTGCATTATTATTTTAAAGTTATTATTTAAATACCCACAATAGAAACCATTCCTTAGCATACTTTGTTCCTCATGTTCTGTTTCCTAACACTAAAATTATGTGGTAAATAAAAAAATAATTGTTGCTGTCCGACTTTCTAAAAAATATACTACATATCCCATGACCACCTGGCTGCGCAAGTGAAATGTCAGGTCGCCCTGATGACGCACAAACGAACATGGCGGCGCTTGGAACAGCAAGGTGCTTATTTTGGAGCTGCTCTCGGGCGAGAAATGTTCAGAGGAGCAAGCAAATTTTGGTCAGATGTGGCGTCGAGACATTTTGTAGTGGATCACAAGATAACGGTATGTTATAATGCACTGAATATTACTGTAGTCTTATCATAGCCTAACTATAAACACTGACCTTGTAACTTTTTTCGTTAGCATCCATACTGGCCGTGTGGATGTCAAGCTCGTTTAACAAATCCAGCCGTATTGCCGAATGTATTTCAGAAATCTTTAGAGTCTTCCTCTGAATTAGGCAATGATGTATTGGCAATGTTATAATAATTTCCCAAAATATTGGTTCAAAACGCTTCTACAATATACAGCGTTATCTTTAAATCTGCTTTTATTACGATTTTTGTTAATTAAGAAGAAGGCTATAGTTCATTATGGCAATACTTAAGAGTTTGGTCTGTGATATTTTTAATACAAGTTAGAACAGCAGATGTCTGTTGTCAAGCCAAGTCATCCAGTCTCGCCCACACCCTGTAGCTTTAACAGCAAAAATACTGCGAGTTTTAAATTGGCTTACAGTCATGGTAGTGTAATCTGTACAAACCATTAACGAGTGTAATTTCTCCACAGCCCCATCAGCCAATGCGAAGCCCCGTTTCACAGATCCAGCTGTGCAGGACATCCTCACCAGCATAACAGGGCTGGACTTGCAGAAAGTGTACAGACCTATTAAACAGGAGCTGAAACCCGCCAAGTATAAACTCATGACTGAAGAACAGCTGGAGCAGGTGCCATTTATATTTTTATATTTCTATATTTTTGTCCTCCCCAGCTACATGCATGAGAGGGTCAGAATATTAGGAACACTGAAATGTTTTGAGCTTCATTAATACAGATGTTAAGGTGCAAGTGTTGCATTGAATTGCATACCATTGTACAGGTGTACCTAATAAAGTGGTGAGTGTATATTCTTTGTTCTCCATACACCAGTGACCTTGGATTTTATGTAAATAAGCCTAACAGAATGTAAGTCAGTATACTGTATCTGGTTGTTCTTTACATAATCACACTAGTGCTAGAAAAGGGGACAGAAGAGGAGTAAAATACAAGTGTTCTGCAGCTAGTCATACATTGGTGTCATTGAAGTTTTAATTGGATTGTGATTGAATCGAATCGTAAACACCATATTGTGCACCAAATTGTGTAACACCTGTTTCATCTAATCCCTTGTGTGTTCTCAGGCTGTCCAGATAGCTTCAGAGCACGCTAAGAAGCTGCTGCAGATGCCCCCTGTCCTGCCGGAGAGGAAACCAATCAATGATGTGTTGTCTGAGGATAAAATCTTGGATGGCATGGACACAGCCAAATACGTCTTCACAGACATCACCTACGACATCCCACACAGGGTAGGCACAGGTGTTGTGTACAGTTTTGTTTTTGTTTATAATTCAAATCACTTTGTGGCTTGTTTTTAGGTTTTTATGTAACCTATATAGTAAATGTGTAAAAGTCTCAAATTTAACTTGATGAAATGCAGCTGTGTACTTTGGTAAGGGATACAGACATTTAATATTGCTAACATCTGTCCCTTGCCTGTATACTGTATTCTTTCTGTTCTCAGGAGAGATTTATTGTTGTACGGGAGCCCAGTGGGACCCTTAGAAAAGCAACCTGGGAGGAGAGAGATAGGCTCATTCAGGTCTACTTCCCCAAGGAAGGACGCAAAATCAAACCGCCTCTCCTATTCAAGGAGGAGAACCTGAAGGTATTTGATGTCACTTACTTTTCTATGATGGCATAGTCAGATGGAGTAAAGCATCAACACTTGTGAATATACTTTTGCATTATGAATAACTAGGGCCTGATAGATTCATGGAACTAATGAAACTTGGTGATCTGTAAATTACTGAAACAGTCAGTATTTCAACCCCAGCTCTCTGTTATTGGCGTCATTTATTGATAACCCTGTAAACTTATTGGGGTTTCTATATTGTTTTTGTATCTAATGAATGCAACAAGCCATAAATATCAAACTTTTTCCTATACACCAGTCAGTCATGACCTTATGAATACTCTGTACACAGGAGTCAGTGTGGCAGTCGGGTGGCACTCATCACTCTGCAGCTCACTGTGCATCTTCTGTGAATCTGTTTGCTTCCACAGTTCTACTGTAAGGAAGCAAACATGTTGTAGGCTACTAGGAGGATACATTGCCTGAATGTTGACCATTCAATGAAAAACCTAGGTAAAAGCAATGAAAACTGTGGTTGCGAGGACAAGTTGGAGAGAATTTTTTAGACAAATTCCACAGCGATATCACCACTGTAGCCGCTCAATGTTTCTCTTCATAGAGACTAGTGTACAGTATTTCTCATTTTCTCTTCCATTTTAAGTTTTAAACAAAATGGAAACGTTTGAAAATGATGAATGAAATTTAAAAGCTTAATCTATAATAGGCCAACCTCATCATCGCTGAGCCTTGTGTGTCCATGGCCCTGGCACCGGTTCACTGTTTGTCCTTCCTTAGACACTGTTGACAGGTACTAACTGCTACAGACAGGAACCCAACAAGACCTGCAGTGTGGGAGATGCGCTCACTCAGTCGTCTAGTGATCACTTCAGCTGTCAGTTGTCATAATGTTATGGCTGATAGGTGTATTTAAAGGTACTCTACCTAATTTATGCTTAGCCATTAGAGAGTGAGACTCAAAACATACAACAGAAACCATTCCTTAGCACACTTTGTTCCTCACGTTCTGTTTCCTAACACTATGACATGAACTACAGGTGCCTGGTTGCGACAAAATGTATAAAATGCAGCCTCACCATTGCATCCAAATTCCATATTGCAGACTAATTTTATACAGGGTATAATTTATTCTAATTGCCATAGTAAGCTGTTTTTGCAAGTAGTACACAATTCATACACTTGATGCTTCTCCAAATAATAGGATATACAGATAATAAGAAGTGCACCAACAGTTGTCAAACCAATGAATTGTTTTCAGAAGATTTAAATGCTTCTGCTGTTGTTTTAGACCTTTAAGGATCTTTAACTGTCATTTGTAGTTTATATTACAGCTACCAGGACCCTGAAACTGATGCAGTTAAATGAAGCCTACATTAGTTTCATTATTTACATTTGTGCTTTTTCTTACTGTGACATCATCTTTAAAAACTCAAGGACATGTTAAGTGAGTCTGTACACCCCCACACAGTCCAGTCTAATCACGCAGAGTAACCCATGGCCCATTTATACTGTTTCTTAGACGCTGTTTTCTCAGGACCGGTATGAGGATATGCTGGAACTGTGTCTGGTCCAATTTCAACCGGATTCTTCAGAATACATCAGGGTAAGATTACACTGAGCTGCTTGTTATTTTGACCTGATCACCAACAGCACTGTTCTGTAGAATGTACAGAGCCCACTGAACCATGACATTTCTCCAGTTTTTTTAGTTTTCTCTTGACAACTTGACATGGAGTGTGAAATGGAAGGAGAGTGTAGATTGAAAGTTTCTGAATTTGATGTGAAAAGCATTCTGCTTAGTGTCTACATTATGTGCCTTTTGTTTAGATACATGCAAGAACCTATGAAGATGTGGACAAACACGGTAAATATGAGCTGCTGCGCTTCACCAGACACTTTGGGGGCATGGCCTGGTACCTGGTCAATGCTCGCAGGATAGACGGCCTCATAGTGGACATGCTGAAGAGAGAACTGTGAGTTTGTGTGTGTGATTATTGCATGTATGAGAGAATGTTTCTGTAATTGATATTCAGGCCTGAATATCTGACTTGAACATCTTTTTTGGTACTTTTAACCCAAGTTTAAATTGAGCTAGTTCACGCCACTGTTATTGTAATTGCTGTCAGAGAGCTTAAGGCCTCAGTGTTGGTGTGTGTTTCCAGGCTCCAGGATGCTGTGAACCTAGTGTCTCTGTTCCACATGGTTCACCCCGACAGTGAGTCAGCCCAGGAAGCTGCCAGCCAGCAGGCTACTGGCACCGACCTGCTTAAGGTAGAGAACAACTCGAGTCTGAATAGAAATGTCTGCTGACTCCCTGCTCTTCTTCAGCATTTTTATTTACTTAGCTGTGTTCATATAAAACTATTGCTATTCAATCCTAAAATCATTCAGATTGTCTAAGGTTTTGGGGTGACTCAGGAGTCACTGTAGCTTTCAGAAGGTCAAGTCTGTCTCATCTAAGGTTTCCTGTCTGAGAGGTTTGGGTTTTTCTCCAGCGTGGGAACTGTGGGGTCAGGCCTAGGACACATCAGGTCTTATTAACACTCACAGCCCCTTGGCCTTGAAGCAGTGGGGAGGGACACTGAGAATGACAGCCATTTAATGTGAAAAGAGACGTGGGTGTGTGTTTGTCTGCTTCAGCCACTGTCACGCAGGGCCTCTCATTTTGTCATGGTTGATTATGGACTGCTGACTAGGCTGTGTTTTATTAGTCTGCCATGAATGCAGTTAATACTGTGGTTGTATTTTATTTTTTTTTAGGTTTTATGAACACAGCCACGGCTTCAAATAAATTGGGGTAACATTTTTCTCCTTCACTGTTTTGCTGACCTTTGACCCTTGTCCCTGCAGATCTATGCCCAGAAGGAGTCCCAGAGGTCAGGCTACATTGAGCTGGCCCTGCAGGCGTATGAAGAAAAGTCTGCAAAAAGCTCGGCTGCTTAATCGGCCCACTCTGATATAGATATATACAGTTACATGCACACAAAAAAAGAGCAGTGACAACAAACAGGACAGACTGAAAATTGTCTTTGTGTATCACATGTGGAACTCGAGGTCAGACCCAATGTGTCAAAAGTCAAATGATGTAAATAAAAATCTAAATACTTGTATGTTGTAGTAAAATACAGAGGCCTGGATAATAGTTAATTTGAGCTTATTTATTTTTCACATCCGGCTGTACAGTGCCATATGTTCTTTGTGTCCCCTGCACCCTCAAAAAACATCTTAAAAACACGTGCAAGCTACAGTACCTACAGTGGGTACGGAAAGTATTCAGACCCCCTTAAATTTTTCACTCTTTGTTATATTGCAGCCATATTCTACAATCATTAAAAAAAATTTCTTCTGATCATCCCTGAGATGGTTCTACACCTTCATTTGAGTCCAGCTGTGTTTGATTATACTGATTGGACGTGATTAGGAAAGCCACACACCTGTCTATATAAGACCCTTCAGCTCACAGTGCATGTCAGAGCAAATGAGAATCATGAGGTCAAAGGAACTGCCTGAAGAGCTCAGAGACAGAATTGTGGCAAGGCACAGATCTGGCCAAGGTTACAAAAAAAAATTTCTGCTGCACTTAAGGTTCCTAAGAGCACAGTGGCCTCTATAATCCTTAAATGGAAGACGTTTGGGACGACCAGAACCCTTCCTAGAGCTGGCCGTCCGGCCAAACTGAGCTATCGGGGGAGAAGAGCCTTGGTGAGAGAGGTACAGAAGAACCCAAAGATGACTGTGGCTGAGCTCCAGAGATGCAGTCGGGAGATGGGAGAAAGTTGTAGAAAGTCAACCATCACTGCAGCCCTCCACCAGTCAGGGCTTTATGGCAGAGGGTCCCGACGGAAGCCTGTCCTCAGTGCAAGACACATGAAAGCCCGCATGGAGTTTGCTAAAAAACACCTGAAGGACTCCAAGATGGTGAGAAATAAGATTCTCTGGTCTGATGAGACCAAGATAGAACTTTTTGGCCTTAATTCTAAGTGGTATGTGTGGAGAAAACCAGGCACTGCTCATCACCTGTCCAATACAGTCCCAACAGTGAAGCATGGTGGTGGCAGCATCATGCTATGGGGGTGTTTTTCAGCTGCAGGGACAGGACGACTGGTTGCAATCGAGGGAAGGATGAATGCGGCCAAGTACAGGGCTATCCTGGACGAAAACCTTCTCCAGAGTGCTCAGGACCTCAGACTGGGCCGAAGGTTCACCTTCCAACAAGACAATGGCCCTAAGCACACAGCTAAAATAACGAAGGAGTGGCTTCACAACAACTCTGTGACTGTTCTTGAATGGCCCAGCCAGAGCCCTGACTTAAACCCCATTGAGCATCTCTGGAGAGACCTGAAAATGGCTGTCCACCAACGTTTACCATCCAACCTGACAGCACTGGAGAGGATCTGCAAGGAGGAATGGCAGAGGATCCCCAAATGCAGGTGTGAAAACCTTGTTGCATCATTCCCAAAAAGACTCATGGCTGTATTAGCTCAAAAGGGTGCTTCTACTAAATACTGAGCAAAGGGTCTGAATACTTATGACCATGTGATATTTCAGTTTTTCTTTTTTAATAAATCTGCAAAAATGTCAAAAATTCTGTGTTTTTCTGTCAATATGGGGTGCTGTGTGTACATTAATGAGGAAAAAATGAACTTAAAGGATTTTAGCATATGGCTGCAATATAACAAAGAGTGAAAAATTTAAGGGGGTCTGAATACTTTCTGTACCCACTGTATAACAAACACATTTTAGGTTTCATATTGATTTATTTGTTAAACTAATATCAGCAGTAGACTGTGTACTGATACAGGCTTTGAAGTAAACACACACCAAAACTATTAAGGATGTTAACCAATACAGACCTGGAATCCAACTAGATAGGGGATCTGTCCATTTATGAACATTTACTCTAACATAAAAATCATGGCCAGTGGATATACAGCCCCATTTCATATAGAAATTCAGTAATACTGCGGTATTTTGCTAAAATACTTTTGCTAGAGAAAAACTGATCAATTTCACTTCAAGAGGAAAACGATATTGTAAAAATTCATCAATGTCTCTGACTACACCCTGATGAACAGTGGTGTGATATGAGGTGTGAGGAACTTAAAACTCATTTTACACTTTCTTTCAAACTACCACTGACACAACTGGTTAATCCTCCAGATAAAATTTAAATAAAACCCATAAATATGGCCATGTTATGTCAAAATAAATCTGTCTTGTTGGGGGTATTAAATGAGTTCGGTCCTGCAGTAGCACTAATCTTGTGGACATTAGATAAGCTACATCCTATTATAGTATCTCAGCCTGCAGCCAATAAAGTTAATTGCTTGTTAATTTAGCCTAAAGCCATTTTAATTTGCTGACAGCTTATCGCTGTTCTGGAAAGCCACCCTCAAATTTTTTGATGACTTAAAAATGGAAAAGTTTGTTTTGTGAAAGGTTATTCTTTCTATTCACAGAGGAACTCCTCATCCCGTTTGACATCTGTGGTGTCAGTAGTTTCCATATCCTTATTGTCCTACCGGTGAACAATATTTGAGAGTGGAAGAGAAGAGATGTGGTTATAATTTTGTATTAAGGACAACCAAATATTTATCACAATATTTTGGAATTTTTTGCGATAAAAATCTGTGTTTACCTCCTCATCTACCTCTGCCTCAAAGTCCTCAGCATCTTCAGGACCTGCCTCCTCCTCCTTCGCTACATTCCCGAGTGCTGTGGACTGTTTTTCTTGCTCATTGTATCTTTAAGTGGGTGTAGCAGTGGATCACAGGTTAAATCTTGAAAAGTTTGGACAGGGACTGATGCACCCAGCAGCCCTGAATTGTTTTCAAAAAGGATGAGCTCCTCCTTTGTTGTGGGTGATGGTAGTGTTTGTGATGCTGTATCTGTGATAAGTGTTGCTTCTGAAAAGGTTCATCCCTAAATCCACATCATACAGGTTGTAACCGATACTTTTACATCAGTATTAAGTGCCAGACTAGTGCTAACTGGGACATCCTCTTATTGTTGTGATTGCTTCTTTTGTCTCAGTAAGATGTTTCAGAACCAGAGGCCACAGATATGGGATCAGCTGCTGGAGACAGTTCCTGAACATCCCCAAATGAAGATCTTCCACAGGACTGGATTGTGCTATCTCTGGCTCTTTGGCAGGAATCTTATTAATGGACTCGTCCAAAGTAACTTTCTCTACAGCGACTGAAGGCTCCTCTAATGATTTTTCTAATACAGTTCCTCTGAATTCTACTGATGAGTGGATATTCTGCAGCAGGCCTGACCTTGATATGAGTCTCCTTCAGGTACTGCTCAGCTAGCAGGGCTCGCTGAAAGCCAGGGAGCAGGTTGCTGTACTGGGTGGGGTCAGCCACAGCATCTCCTGCCCTCTGGTTGATGTTTGGCAGACTCTCCAAAGCTTCACCACCCTATGAGAAAAGAACTGTGTACTGGTGAGGTATAATGTAAATATAAACAAACATTTAGATATTCCCATTATCAGGGATATCATCATTTATTCACTGATTATGATTTCGATGTTGTAAAACTTTTGTCCTCTGAGAAACAGTTGGGCCTAAACAGTCTTAAACATATTTCTACATATTCAAATGCACTTACTAATGCACAGTAAAAAGTTGTAGGCTACTAGGAGGATACATTGCCTGAATTTCCTTACCACAAAAAGGCTGCTGTGCACCATTTTAGCAGACTCCATGTGTTATTTTGTTGATTTGCTGCAACCTAATGTGGCTTCAGATGGGCACAAGCAGCATGTGCAGAATTTAAACAAAACAAACCTGCAATGTGCTGTTAGAGTTTTACAGTACACATCTATTATTTCTGTCTTTCTTGTCACTTTCTGTTGTTACTTCCTGTTGACCAGATGCTGGAGGAGGTCCCTGAGGTGGTGAAGACAGGAAGTTGGGTGGGAGACTGCTTCATCTACACCAGCTCTGTTAACAGACTTAACTATTATGTTGGAGGGGAAATCATCACCATTGCTCACATGGACAGGTAAATGCATTAATCAATGGAAACTTGCCAAAGATGTACCAGCAAACCCATCTTGGTTTATTTATAAAGTAGCAGCAGCACAGAGTAATCAGCATTATTGCCATGTCCCTGGCATGCAGTGAAAATCCACTGTCTTTGAATCTCCTTGGTGTGTCAAGCCAGCCACCTTTCTCATTCTATTCTTTTACATCTATTATATTAGAAATACTAAATATTCCCAAAGTGCCGTATATTTCTCTGGTGTAGGACTATATACTGTATCTGCTGGGTCATATCCCCAAGGATATCCATGTCTACTTTGGAGACAAGGAGCTGAATATCATCAGCTACTCCCTGTTGCTTTCTGTGCTGGAATACCAGACAGCTGTCATGAGCAGGGTCTTCTGCACAGCTGACAAAGTTCTGCCCACAGTCCCCTAGGAGCAGAGGACCAGGGTAGCCCAGTTCTAGGAGAAACAGGTATGTTTGTCCTCCTGCTTGGTGCTTTTCTTTCAGCTTGAACTATAAAATCAGAATTTGGACGAATGAGTAATTTACAGAACATCTGGCAGCCAAATTGAATAAAACCTGGGGGCAGAATTCTTGTGTTTGTTTTACAGTGTTTTTATCCAAGGAATGCTTTTGCCTTTCATGAAGTCTCACTACTGCACTGTTTCACATTCACAGAGTTTCATTTATTTTTACTTAGATGTTGTCTACTCTTCATAGTTGGTCTCATTGGTAATCTCACAGTGTGTGGAATAACAATGTTTGTATTTTGTATTTGTTTATATTGTGTCGGGCTTCAGACAACAGACACTAGCTGTGTCCACTGACCCAGAACAGAAGTTTGAACTTGCTCTGCAGCTGGGAGAGTTCAGGATGACCTGCCAACTGGCTCTGGGGACAGAGGTCAGCACCCATGAGCATACACACAGAAACAAGAGTTTGTAGCCATCTCAGCCATTTTGTGAGGCTGTACCTTAAAGCTACAGTATTTAACTTAAGGTAGTGTTAGCATGATACTCTAAATGAGTCCACTCTACTCCACCCAGCACTCCCTCTCTCTATTCTACTACGATCTGCTACACTCTGCCCAGTTTTAGGGAAGCCAAGGGAGCTTTACATAGCACAAGGACTGCCATGTTTGTCTTGTATCAGTAACTGTCTTGTACAGTATACAGGATAGTGTATGTATGACAGAGTGAGTCATAACCCTGGCCTCCCATACCTAGTAACTGCTTCACAGTGGATTGTTGAGGTTCATTCTTTTCTGTCCTATGATAATCCTCTCTCCTGTCTCTTTGGCACTTTCTCATGTGGGGCTCCAGTTAGAGCAGAAATGGAAGCAGCTGGCTGAGCTGGCTACTACAGAGTGCCAGTTTAGCAGGCCCAGGAGTGTCTGCACCATGCTCAGGATTATGGTTACTGCTGCTGGCTACTGCCTCAGGCATCGCTGGTGTGGTGGACAGACTGGCTGAGAAGGCAGAGGGACAGCAAGACCAACATGGCATTCTTTACCTAGTTTATGCAGGGGATGTGAGTAGAAGGAGAGGAGTGGGAGGAGGAAGGGACATGTGTACTTTTTCTACTATTTAGTTTCATCATTTTTTGTGTTTGCAGAGACTGGACAAATATCTGGGCCCTTATCTAATTCAGATTGTTTGCCAGAGGCTGCATTCCTGGAAAGAACATGTCTGCCCAGCCATGCGCCAACGTAAGGTCGGAGTGGGCTCAACCAGTGCTTGCATGCTCCCCGTAAGCAGGACCAGGTGGGGGCATCCACAGACACGGGGCCTCGCCAGACATGGGCTCACTCAGGATGTTTGCAGCCTAGGAGAGAACTTAGTCCCTGGCGCGCTAGTGTTGACATACAGCCCTGGACAAAAGAAGGGCTTGTCCCCACGGTACCGAGCCAGCAGGCGGAGCGGAGTGCCACGGCGATGGCTAGAGATGCGCTTCAAACATCTCTTCGGATAACGGATGGGTGGCGTTACGGTGGATTTGTCCAGTCTTTATATATAGTCAGCGGTCTGACCGACCTGTCAGCTTCGGCTTGACGTCTGGCCGCAGAGGCTATTGAGAGACAGAGAATGAAAAAAGAAACAACCTCTGCAGTTCCTGTTCTGAGCAACAATACTCTAAATAGGCTAAACTGGGATTATATCTTTAAAACAATTATAGTCTGTATAAGATGTTAAGGCATTTTAATGCCAAACCAACTCTTTTGGAGAACGTACCTGCTCCAGAATAACTGGACGAGTCATTTAAGTCTTTTCACTTCAACGAAACATTAAAGTGTTCTCGTTTATCTATTTTAATGTTAAGGATCTCCCATAAAAACTTTCTCATATTGTGTAGACTAAATGTGCCGGTGCTGGTTTCACTCACACTGTTGCATAAAAACATGTGCAGCTTTTGCATTGTGGTTGTGAATATGGTTTCTGCATGATTTGTATGGAGTTTAAGGATATAGGTTAGTGTATGCGTTCACTGACAATATATATAGAAAACAACAAACAAAGTTAGCCAGTGTTTTTGTTTCTCTACCATGTTTCCACGTAAACAAATCCAGCGACAATAAAAACAAAATGACTTCCGGTATTGATTTTCTCAATAAAACAAAAAAAAAGATTATTCATTCAATTTATTTAAGTCTAACGTCTACCCACTTTTTATGTTGCTACCCACACACACTTCCATGTTATAATCTCTGAAAGCTATTTAATGTGACCACTATCAATTTGAATTTTTCTATTTACAAAATAAAATTGGCTATTTCCGGTTTGTATCTTCCTATTATTTTGCGACTTTACGCGTCTTGTTCTAGCGAAGTGGATCCTGACACGCTTCCTGGTGCAGCTCAGGATCCTGCAGAGAAGCAAGACACATTGCACCTGCGAGCGTGCATGTGCACCACTACGCTGCAGACAGTGCAGACTTCAATTGATCAACCTCAAGTTCACATTTAAGTCTTCAGTCTACTAGAGCAAATGCAAAAATATGACAACTATAACAATAACTTTACTTGTCTCAGCCTTTTTCTTTACATGCTTTTCTAGAAATAGTCCAAACTTTTCATAAAACCTCAATAACTGTCTACTAGCAAGTTGTCTGAGAACCCTACAGTGAAAAAAGTTCACATAACTGCTTTCAGAGCAAAAGTCCATTCACACAACATTTAAATACATTTGTAAAATATATAATGTATAATTTAATTATACAGTATTATGCACATATTCTGGATATGGGTGTGTGTAATTTGTAAAATGAATGGAACTTTAATGGACTATGGAAACAAACTGAGAAATTCTGGATCTTTATACTGAAAAAACATTATTGCAGTTCTTAATAAAAGACAATAAAATAATAAAGAACAGTGGTGTTAAAATCAGTTTATTATAGGTTTCTCAAGTGCATTAAAAGAACAGTGGTATTAATCAATACAAGTCTCCACTGTTACATTATAAACAGACGACATGCAACACACGACAGACAAGTTTGTGCGAGTTTGTTTCCATGTTATTGGACTTTCTTAAATACTTGATGGCAGACTTTGTCGAGTGCAGTGATTTCCTGAAAGAGAAGTTACAAACCTTTAAACTGTGAGTCCAACATGATGCAACAAATCTGTCTTTTAGTTGCATAAACAGGTTGTGTTAGAGCTATAAACTTTAGATAAACTTTAGATTGTGCTTCACTGTCTTTTTGTTATCTTATGAAGATATGGGAAATCAATGTGATTTAATAAAGGGTTGTAAATTATTTCATTAAACAATTGAGGAAAGGATGTGTTTTTTCTTTTGATGTTTTCTTCTGGCGTTTACTTCTTTGTTCAATGTGGCAGACAAGAGAGAATTTGCAGGTACTATGTAAACAGGAAT